TGGGTTTTTATTTGCAGGGACTGTTCTACATGGGAAAGCATTCAGCACTGTCATTCTCCCATCTGCCATCTGAATTGGTACTATTCTGGGTCAACTTACTCTGCTGCATGTGTAGATGAAAATGGCACCAAGTGTGGGGGAGGGGGCAGAACAGGTTTCAGATACAGGATATTAAGCATACACGTACTTCAGATTGAACTGGTTGCTTGCTTTGCAAGTTTTCATTTCCCAAATGACTGCCTTGGCAAGCGCAATACCTACCAGGCTCAAGGCCGGTCTCGCGCTGCCGCTTCCCGCGCTCTCAAAGACCCGGGAGGAGGAAGGCGTGAAGGGAATCCCGAAGGTGCGAAAACCTCGCGCATGCGCAGGCCTTCCGCCTGCGACAGCCCAGTAGGCCGGCTGAAGCGAGTGGCGATGGGATGTGGGAGGGAGCTCGCTCGCCGCCCCGCGTGTGCCTATGTGGGGCACGTTACAGCCCCGTGACGTCAGCGCCACGCAGGCAGCCAGGCAGGCAGACGGCGAGAGCCCCGCGCTGGGCGGCCTCTCCTCGTTGCCGCCACCCCGCCTCTCGCCGCCCGACTCGCCTGCCTCCCTCCCACGGCACACCAGGCAACGTCTCGCGGCACACTAGTGTGCCGCGGAACACCGGTTGGGAAACACTGGTCTAGTCGAAGACTGCAAAAAAATCAAAGCTGTGCTTCCCCTGCCTGCCCCCGCAATACAGTGGTACCTCGGGTTACATACGCTTCAGGTTGCATACACTTCAGGTTACAGACTCCGCTAACCCAGAAATATTACGTCGGGTTAAGAACCTTGCTTCAGGATGAGAACAGAAATCATGCAGCAGCGGTGGCACAGCAGCAGCAGGAGGCCCCATTAGCTAAAGTGGTGCTTTGGGTTAAGAACAGTTTCAGGTTAAGAACGTACCTCCAGAATGAATTAAGTACGTAACCAGAGGTACCACTGTATTCTTAAGAGGGTCCCTTCTCCAATCTTCAGAGAGTAGCTGGAAGTAGGGAGGCAGAATAAAGGTCCTCCTTTCCTTCCACTCTGCAGTTTTAATCTGAAATCTTAGGCGCAGTCAGAGCTCAAAAACTAATGAAATTCCTTATCACAAAAGGATTGCCTAGAACAATGGGAGTTTCGAATGCTGGTTGGTTTATCTATCAGATTCTACTCACCAACCTCCTTCAGCTGGGAAACCCAAGGGGATGTGTGTATCCCCCCCCCCCCACTCTTTTATCCTTGCAACAGCCCTGTGAATTGTCAGGGTCACCCATGGGGCTTTGTGGCTAAACAAACGCCTGGAGGAGTTGTCCCTCATTCACAGCTATTACAGGAGGATAATAATACCCTACTGTACTGGGATTCTTCAGGGTGGTTGTGAGGATTGTTAAGATAGTGGTGATCAGGGGTGCCAACTTGAATAAAATATTGGGGGAGGGGGCAGGTAATCAATCACAAGATGCGGTTAGCACCATTTGGATGGCAATGCCCATCAACTGGGGGGGGGGCAGTCCCTTCAAATATTTTATGGAGGTTCCGTTGCCCCTGGGAGTTGGTTCCTATGGTGGTGATGACTGTTTCAAGCCATGTTTTCCTTTCTTGGCCTTTCAATCAGATTTTCTTCCCGCTAATGATCTCAGTCCTGTTGTCTTTGTCCATGGAGTTTTCTTGGCAAGGATACTGGAGTGGCTTGCCGGATCCTCCTCCAGGTGGATCACGTTTGGTCAAAACTCTCCACTATGACCTGTTCATCTTGTGTGCCCTGCTCGGCGTAGTTCATAGCTTCTCTGAGTTCTTCAAGCCCCTTCGCCATGGCAAGGCAGTGATCCAAGGCAGGGGATCACTGGTGACAGCAGCCATGAAATTAAAAGACGCCTGCTTCTTGGGAGAAGGGCAATGACAGGCCTAGACAGCATCTTGAGAAGTAGAGACGTCACCTTGCCAACAAAGGTCCGTATAGTTAAAGCCATGGTTTTCCCAGTAGTGATGTATGGAAGTGAGAGCTGGACCATAAAGAAGGCTGATCGCCGAAGAATTGATGCTTTTGAATTATGGTGCTGGAGGAGACTCTTGAGAGTCCCATGGACTGCAAGAAGATGAAACGCATCCATTCTGAAGGAAATCAGCCCTGAGTGCTCACTGGAAGGACAGATCGTGAAGCTGAGGCTCCAGTACTTTGGCCACCTCATGAGAAGAGAAGACTCCCTGGAAAAGACCCTGATGTTGGGAAAGATGGAGGGCACAAGGAGAAGGGGGCGACAGAGGACGAGATGGTTGGATAGTGTTTTCGAGGTTACCAGCATGAGTTTGACCAAACTGCGGGAGGTAGTGGAGGACAGAGGTGCCTGGCGTGCTCTGGTCCATGGGGTCACGAAGAGTCGGACACGACTAAACAACTAAACAGCAACAATGATCTCAGGGTAGCATATGTAGACCCTTACAATGGCACTCTGAGGTAAGAGTGCTCATTTTGGTAGCTTAAAAAATGAGGAGGTGGTTGTCAATCTCCCACTATGTTTCAAGATGTGCTTCATGTTCCTGTGCACCCCATTACCTGATAGGTTTGCGGCACTTGAAGCATCCCCCCAAACTCTATTCAATGAAGCTGCTGTCTGCGCATGCACAATTATCTGTACACGTGTTACAGCTGTCTCAAATGTACACACTTCAGCTTAACCCCAGCATACGAGTTTGAATCGAATGGAAGCTGGTTGGAGAGTAAACTCATCAATCAGCAGTATTTCTCAAGAAACTACATGAAACACGTGGGTTGTGGCTAGCATCAAACACCAGATTATGGCTTCAGACACCAGTGGTGTTTCTCAAAGACAACAGAAGTGTAGTGTCCCGATCAAGGGAAATAATAGTCCTGCTCTATACCACCTTGGTCAGACCCTGCATGGAGTCCTCTGTCCAGTTCTGGGCTCCACAATTTAAGAAGGATATTGACAAGCTGGAACGTGCAGAGGAGAGCAACCAAGATGATCAAAGGTCTGCGCACCAAGATTAATGAGGAATAGTTGAGGGCATTGGGTATGCTTAATCTGGAAAAGAGGAGACTGAGAGGAGGTATGATAGCCATCTCCAAATATTGGTGCTGACCTTTAAAGCCCTAAACTGCCTTGGTCCAGTATATCTGAAGGAGCGTCTCCTCCCCCATCGTTCTGCCCGGACATTGAGGTCCAGCTCCGAGGGCCTTCTGGCGGTTCCCTCACTGCGAGAGGCCAAGTTACAGGGAACCAGGCAGAGGGCCTTCTCGGTAGTGGCGCCCGCCCTGTGGAACGCCCTCCCATCAGATGTCAAAGCGATAAACATCTATCTGACATTCAGAAGACATCTGAAGGCAGCCCTGTTCAGGGAAGTTTTTAATATGTGACATTTTAGTGTATCTTTCATCTTTGTTGGAAGCCGCCCAGAGTGGCTGGGGAAACCCAGCCAGATGGGCGGGGTACAAATAATAAATTATTATTATTATTATTATTATTATTATTATTATTATTATTATTATTATATATTTTACGGGTTATCACATGGAAGATGGAGCAAGCAACATAAGTACTGTAATAACTTTCTGACCATAAGAGCTGTTTGACTGGAAGAGACTTCCACGAGATATGCTGGACTGTCCTTCCTTGGAGATTTTTAAGAAGAAGAAGAGAGTTTGGATTTGATATCCCGCCTTTCACTCCCCTTCAGGAGTCTCAAAGCAGCTAACAATCTCCTTTCCCTTCCTCCCCCACAACAAACACTCTGTGAGGTGAGTGGGGCTGAGAGACTTCAGAGAAGTGTGACTGGCCCAAGGTGACCCAGCAGCTGCATGTGGAGGAGCGGAGACGCGAACCCAGTTCCCCAGATTACGAGACTATCGCTCTTAACCACTACACCACACTGGCTCTCCAAGCAGAGGTTGGGTGGCCATCTGTCTCGGATGCTTTAGTTGAGATTCCTGCATTGCACGGGGTTGGACTAGATGACCCTTGGGGTCCCTTCCAATTCTATGATTCTATGGTGGGAACGCAGTAGAGCCTCAGTAAATGGTATTGCATGCACACCCTTAAGTATTGTGGGGGGGCTGGCCCGGGGTGCTTTGTGTCTGAGCTGGGATTTCTAAGGGGCTGTTTAACCCCTCCTCTTCCACCACTGGATCTTGGGTCTCGGTTTGCATCTTGCACAGAATGAAAACTGAGGGGGCATTGTTAGCACCTGTGGTTTACTGCTGGATGCAGTCCTACTACCATGTGGCGCTTAATCAGCAGCAGTTGGGTATTAAATTACAGCTGAAATTTCCTGCTGCAGCTTATTGCTTTTTTCTTCAGCTTGAGTCAGCTTAGTTATTTATTAAATTGAAAGCATTTCTAAAACAATAAAGCACCAACATTACAGCATGAGTGTCAGCTGGAAACGGGCTTCAGTGGTCTGGGAGCACCTGAGCAAAGAGAAACATTTTTAGCAGGCAATGGAAACATGGCCCTGTTAGTAGTTAGAGTTAATTTCACAATGCGGACGCATATTGCCCCTGATATAGACCTTGGCCATATGGACTAGTAGCCATTGACAGCTTTCTGTGAATTTGTCAAATCCCAAGTTAAAGCCATCCAGGCTTGTATTGGTCGCTAATTCTATAGTGCAACTACGTGCTGAGCAAATGAATGCTTCATTTTGTCTGTGCTAGTCCTTCCACCATTTAGTTCTTCCACCTCTGGTTCTTGTATTATGAAAGAGGGTAGGAAGCCTCTTCCCCCATGCCGTCTTTCCATTTTCTTCACATTGTGTATGTCATTTCATTGATAACCGAAAATAGAAGTGAAAGATTCTGATCACTTTCTTGAAGCTATATTGGCAGAAGAGGGGAACACAAGAGCCTTGCACTTGCTGCAGCTTATTCCTGTGGCGATGCAATGAGGACAACCAAACCAGCTAGCTTGCATTTATTTTATTTTATTTTATTTTTGTAAAAAAAAACCTTCACATGAAGATAATGTAGTGGTTTACAACATAAAAAAGAACACAAAATAAATAAAGGATTATATGGCGGAAATGGGTAGCTTGGTCCCAAGCTGTTTTGCACTTCATAGGTTGAAACAACACTTTGAATTATGCTAGCATTTTCTCATACCAGGGATCTTCCAAAAAGGAGAGGGTATGAGAAAACCCGGATTGGGAAGGCAGTGATTTGGGAAACATTAAATAGCAGGATGGATGAGTTCAAGTGCCAGTTGCTTTGACCTTATCCTGTATGCTATTCCTCTAAGGCCCTTCAGAACATCTGCACATCCACCAAAAAGGCATGGATGGTGGTGAGTGGCCTGTCTGGTGTTGGATCTCCCACCGGTGGCTTTTGTAAGGAGGGTGGGTGATTGAACAGGGAATGAGAAGCTCTTGGCAGCAGCTCTTTGTTACTTCTCTGCTCTGCAATAAAGAATTCAGTGGCAAAAGTTAAAGTCAGAAATTGAGCTGTCAGAAGGGAAATTAAAGTCAGACGTCCCCTCCCCATCATAAAGCCCTAAGGTGCAACAAATCCAGCAATGTCCCAAAAACTGCATGCACCAAATGATTGTATCCTAGGGATGAGCAACCTGCGTCCCGTCCAATGCTGTTGAACTTCAACTCCCATCAGCCCCAGCCACCAGGGATGATGGAAACGTAAGCCCAGCAACATCAGAATAGACACAGGTTCCTCACTCACACTGTAGAAAGCAAAGCCAGTCCTGTTTCATAGTGATAGCAACGTCGGTGGATATAGGGACAGAGCGCTTTCTCTAGGATGTGAGCGGAAAGAGGTGCCTTAGCTCCACCTCATGGACACTCAGTGGCAGGGACGTCCAGCCTCTGGGGGAGGCAACAGAGAGACGCAATCACGTATGTAAATAGGCATGCCCTACAGCATTGTGGGAGAAACAGCCAGGGTGCAGACCGGGGGTTACAGGGCACCCCAAAATGCTAGACTGCCCAGTGGGGCCCTGGTAGCACGGCTGCATTACAGGATTGAGCTTACGGGTCCTGCAGAATGGAGGTCGCTGTGTCCTTAACAGCAGAGAGAATGAGGGCCAGGAAGCGCGCTTGCCATTTCAATTCATACTTACCTGGCAGGGGAGACACCATGATCACAAAGGTGGTTTTCCCAGGGTGAGGCTCATCCATTGCACTTCGGGTGTGCTGACCCCTGCGATTTCCCCAAATGCGGGAAACTCGACTGCATAATTTGTGGTAGTGGGGGACTGCGTTCGCGCTTTCCCCTGGACTATGTGGTTCAAAAACAGAAAAAAATTGTACTTGTTACTGTTAGCTTCATACTTTACATTTCTGGTTCAGTTACTTGTAGTTCTTTAAGCTTTGCTTTTTATGGAATTCAAGTTGTAAAATAATGAAGTACAATATCAGCAATAAAAATGCTATTAAAATTTATACAGTACCTAGTACAGTAAATTACAATTTGTAGAAGGGATGTTCACCTGACGCCTTTGTTACATATCTTTGGGTGCCAGGTAAAAAACATTCCTTTTGCCCCAGGCCTTGGGCTAATTAAACAATCTTTGGCCTTTTACCCTTTGGGAGAGTATTGCTTTGAAATAGAGGAAAACAATAGAATGGGAAAAACCAGAGATCTATTCAAGAAAATTGGAGATATGAAAGGAACATTTCATACAAAGATTACCAAAGGACAAAAGTGGTAAGGACCAAACAGAAGCAGAAGACATCAAGAAGAGGTGGCAAGAATACACAGAGGAATTATACCAGAAAGATATGAATGTATTGTACACCCCAGGAAGTGTGGTTGCTGACCTTGAGCCAGACATCCTTGAGAGTGAAGTCAAACGGGCCTTAGAAAGCACTGCTAATAACAAGGCCAGTGGAAGTGATGGTATTCCAGCTGAACTATTTAAAATTTTAAAAGATTATGCTGTTAAGATGCTACACTCAATATGCCAGCAAGTTTGGAAAACTCAGCAGTGGCCAGAGGATTGGAGAAGATCAGTCTACATCCCAATTCCAAAGAAGGGCAGTGCCAAGGAATGCTCCAACTACCGCACAATTGCACTCATTTCACATGCTATCAAGGTTATGCTTAAAATTCTACAAGGCAGGCTTAAGCAGTATGTGGACCAAGAACTCCCAGAAGTGCAAGCTGGATTTAGAAGAGGCAGAGGAACCAGAGACCAAATTGCAAACATGCGCTGGATTATGGAGAAAGCTAGAGAGTTCCAGAAAGACATCTACTTCTGCTTCATTGACTATGCAAAAGCCTTTGACTGTGTCAACCACAGCAAACTATGGCAAGTTCTTAAAGAAAATGGAGTGCCTGATCACCTTATCTGTCTCTTGAGAAATCTCTATGTGGGACAAGAAGCTACAGTTAGAACTGGATATGGAACAACTGATTGGTTCAAAATTGGGAAAGGAGAACGACAAGGCTGTATATTGTTTCCCTGCTTATTTAACTTATATGCAGAATTCATCATGCGAAAGGATGGGCTGGATGAATCCCAAACCGGAATTAAGATTGCCGGAAGAAATATCAACAAACTCAGATATGCAGATGACACAACCTTGATGGCAGAAAGTGAGGAGGAATTAAAGAACCTTTTAATGAGGGTGAAAGAGGAGAGCGTAAAATATGGTCTGAAGCTCAACATCAAAAAAACTAAGATTATGACCACTATGAATCACCTCCTGGCAAATAGAAGGGGAAGAAATGGAGGCAGTGAGAGATTTTACTTTCTTGGGTTCCATGATCACTGCAGATGGTGACATCAGTCACGAAATTAAAAGACACCTGCTTCTTGGGAGAAAAGCAATGACAAACCTACACAGCATCTTAAAAAGCAGAGATCCTTGCTGACAAAGGTCCATATAGTTAAAGCTATGGTTTTCCCAGTAGTGATGTATGGAAGTGAGAGCTGGACCATAAAGAAGGCTGATTGCCGAAGAATTCATGCTTTTGAATGATGGTGCTGGAGGAGACTCTTGAGAGTCCCATGGACTGCAAGAAGATCAAACGCATCCATTCTTAAGGAAATCAGCCCTGAGTGCTCACTGGAAGGACAGATCGTGAAGCTGAGGCTCCAATACTTTGGCCACCTCATGAGAAGAGAAGACTCCCTGGAAAAGACCCTGATGTTGGGAAAGATGGAGGGCACAAGGAGAAGGGGACGGCAGAGGACGAGATGGTTGGACAGTGTTCTCGAAGCTACCAGCATGAGTTTGACCGAACTGCGGGAGGCAGTGGAAGACAGGAGTGCATGGCGTGCTCTGGTCCATGGGGTCACGAAGAGTCAGACACGACTAAATGACTAAACAACAACCAGAACAACAACGTTATGCATTGTATTAAGAGAGGGGTATTACCTCTGGTGGGGTACGCATCATGCTCCTTTTGAGGTAGTTTGTCCATTCTGAACTCAGCTCTCACCAGTAGAAGCTGTCAGCATGCTAGTGGTGCAGCAATAAATCTAGCACATTTGCAAAGCTAAGCAGGGTCCGGTATGGTTTCCAATTGGAGGGGAAACTGTTGAGATTCCTGCATTGCAGGGGGTTGGACTAGATGACCCTCGGGGTCCCTTCCAGGCCAGCTCTCTAATTCTGGCTCTATGACAGCATCCACACCCCCGGAAACGGCTTCAACTTGCCTACTAAGCCAAGTGACGCAGCTGATGTTTCACAAACCCTCAGTGAGTCAATTAGGGATTTTCCCTGCATGCATGTCTTCTAAAAAAACACATATTAGTCAGCCCAAACGAAAAGCTCGCAAGAGCCTTGTTTGGTCTGAGCAGCGGCCCGTCCAGTCCAGCGTCCTGTTCTTGCAGCGGCCAATCAAGCGCCTGCCGGGAGCAGAACGGGAGTGGGAACGAGAAGAATATCCCGGTCAAGGGCAGAGGCAGCTGGAACCGGGAACAGGAGCAGATGCTTACACTTCCCCAGGTAGGAAATTAAGGGGAAGAGGCGCGAACCAGTTTCCCGACACGCGGCTGCTCCGCATTCTGCCCTGCTCGAAGAGTGCGATTTCCAAGCCCGCCTGCGAAAGGGCGCCGCTCCGCGGGGAGAGGCGGTAACTGCGCTCCGGCGCCTCGGGATTCCCCTCCGGGTTCCCCTCCCGCGACTCTCCCTGCCGCTGGCCAATCAGGAGTCAGGGCGAGAGGAAAGGGGCTGTGACGTCACCCGGCGGAAGCCGAGAGCGGCGACTGAGGGTGGGGAGGGGGAGGAGCAAAGAGAAGAAGAGCTGGGAGGCGGGACACCCGCTCCCCCCGCTCCACGCGATTAAACGAGCACCTTTAGGAGCCAATAGGATGAAGCGGGCCCGTTTGGCAGGTCCGCCGGCCAATAAGAGCTCGGAGCAGGCCAACCGGCGAGGCGCCGCCGTCCAATCGCGATCCGGAGGGCGGGTTAGGAAGCGCTGAGGCGGCTTCGGGATCCTGCCTGCGTTTTGTGAGGGAAACGGGTTGAGGCGGAGAAGAAGTGGAAGGAACGGACGAAGCCCGTGAGGGAATCATTGGTGGGTATCTGCGTCCCTCCGGGGCTGGAAACGGGGCCCCTCTGCGAGGAAATGGGGGGAGGGGCGCCGGTGTTTGTGCGGTTTTAGGACCCTCTTAATGCTCCGGTTGGGAGTCGCTTCAAACTCCCTTTCAGTTTTCTCCTCTAATGTTTTCACCTTAAGGACGAAGGGCGAGCCATGCTATTGCTATTACACGTATTCATATCGATTTAATAACATTTTTGAATGTTTTAATTGTGGGGTTGTTTTTTTTTTTACTGCGACCCCATTATTTTGTTCTTTCCGCAAAGCGCTTTCCGTCAGGCAGTGTACAAACTTTATGCAGTAATTAAAATATTCTGCATTGTTCTATTTTATTCTATTCATTTATTACATTAATATACCGTCCTTCATAGATATTAATATAAACTAATATCCCGCCCTTCATTATTTGAGAACATCCTTCTGCCTCCCCTCCCCCAACCATAGATAGATAGATAGATAGATAATACTTTATTCGGCTATAAGCCCACAAGGTAAAACAAATCAATAGATAAAATAGCATTTTACAATCTAAAATAACAACTTCATTATTTGAGAACATCCTTCTGCCTCCCCTCCCCCAACCACTTTAACACCACTTTTAATTTCCTTGGAGAAAAAGGCGGGTTATAACTACAATAGATACCTGTCATCACCCTCATCCTCCAGCCCTTCTTCAGAGGGGGCTTGGGGTCGCCCCCTCTGACCCTCGCAAGGTCTCTCTTCTTTTCCTACTTAGTGCACGACAGCCTCTCTCTCTCTCCCTTGAAGGCCCAGAAGAAGAGGCTGTTTATGGGAGAACCGGTTGGCAAAGCCACTGCGCATAGGAAAGCTACAAGCTCCGTCTTGGCTCCAGCCCCTAATAACCGGGGAGAGTGTTTTCGACCCATTACTACAACAGAACAAAATTAAAAATACGACCTCTGTATGAGGAGGGAAAGCTAGGCTTATGGGGTTGCTGACCCGCCAGAGGCTGCTTGTCCCTAGGTAGGGATCTGGCCCCAGTTCGCCCTCTTCTTGGTTTGACACCCATGTAGTGTTGCTGTTGCCAGTGTGGTGTAGTGGTTAAGAGTGGTGGACTCGTAATCTGGTGAACCGGGTTCGATTCCCCGCTCCTCCACCTGCAGCTGCTGGGTGACCTTGGGCAGTCACACTTCTCTGAAGTCTCTCAGCCCCACTCACCTCGCAGAGTGTTTGTTGTGGGGGAGGAAGGGAAAGGAGAATGTTAGCCGCTTTGAGACTCCTTAAAGGGAGTGAAAGGCGGGATATCAAATCCAAAATCATCTTCTTCTTTGTCTCAGTTATATTCCGCTCAGAGGCAGATATGGTTATGTTCTCTTTATGCTCGGAACAACCCCGTGGAGTAGGCTAGGTTGAGAGGAAGTGACTGATATAAGGCTCTTCTTGGCTGAGGCTGGGATTGTGTATGGGGACTCCTTTACGGAGGAAGAAAAGAGTTGGGGTGCACATGTTGGGAGTGGGGATGTCCACCCGCCCTGCTTTCAACTTGGCTGAGTTTAAGGTTGCCTCCCCCAGCCCCAAACTAATCTAGAAGGGGTGATGGGGAGAAGCCCTTTTCTAAGGCAGGGGAGTTTTGATACTACGCTCTGTGTGTGATTTTTCTAATTGTTTTCTGTTTCTCCTATTTCTCGCCTCACCACACACAAATTGGGTGTGTATTCTTTGTTAATTTTATTTAAAAGCTTATTTTCTGTTAGGTACATGTCACTGAACAATCTTAGGCATGTTTACTAAGAAGGAAGTCCCATTGTATTCAGAGGGAGTTGCTCTCTTGTAAGCATGTGTAGGATTGCGGCATTAAACTGTGGAAGGCAGCATCCGATATGTTGTTAAAAGATAAGAAAAGATTCTTTTTCCTGTAACTATATAGTATATGCAAAGCACTCTTAACTGCTGTAAAGTGTTGCTGTAATGAAAAATATTATGCGTTTATATAACACTCAGTGTGTTGTACAACAAGGCAGTAGGCTACAGTATTATTATTATTATTATTATTATTATTATTATTATTATTATTATTTACTACTACTACTTGCCACCAAAGAAACAAACATAATGTCCAGGTTTCTCACCTCCAACTCTTGTAAGTACAGGGTGGTGATGGTGCCAGATTTCTGCCCTGTGACAGCTAGTGGCCAAACAGGCGATGATGTATTTGGGGAGGAAGTTGGGTCTGTGAGAGAGGGTTCACATTTGGTCATCCTCTCTGGCAGAAGAGCTGCATGGGGTGAATAATGATTCCATCCATACATATTGCACACCTACCAAAGATCCTGAGCATATTTAGCCATTGAGCACACATCCCCACTCTTTTCACAATCTCTGAAAGTAGGTATGGGGATTATGGTTCCTGGTTGAGGGTGGGTCTGTTGTAGTCTCCTAACTTAAAATATTTGCATTCCCAATAGTTTCTTTTAAAATGTACAGGAAAGTGTCACAAAAGTACATTTTGCTTTCCCCTACCCTTTTCTTTTAGTCACTGAGGATCTGATCAGTTGCCTTCACTCAAGAGTTCTGTACTGCTCTTTTTAGTCAGCTCGTCTGAGGTAAGCTGCCTTAAGGTTTCCTTTCAAATTGGTGTGTTTGGAAATGCATGCTACTTCTGGAAGCATCTTGTGCTTCACATTTCACAAAAGAGGACCGAGTGCCATATGACACAGTCTCCTCATCCTTCAGCATAAACACAAGGCTAGGCATGGAGGAGGCGACCGTGCTGAGGGGAGAGTGAGAGAATTCCTCATGCACCTCATAGAGTTCTAGAAGGTGCAGTGACAATGGTCCATGCAGGACTATGTTGAGTCTATGGAAAAGAACGATGGGTTTGTCAATGTTTGTGCTATTTCTAAAAAAAGAAAAGTTGCCGCTTTCCTTCCAACTCTGTGTGAAAGCATAAATTGGCAAGCAGTGATGAGATTCACAGCTTGTCTGTGTTTCCTTTAAGCTCGTGGGCTTCAATGAGATGGAATTGGTTTCAAGTCAATTATGCTGTCAAAAGGGCTGTTTGACTGCTGCTTAAACTCTTGGGACAAGAAGGGATCCTGCTGATAAGCACTAGGGGAGCCCTCTGTGAAAGGGATTCTGAGTAGGAAGGGAATGAGTAAGCATGCTTGGGAAACAAAAAGGTAGTGCCCTTTTTTCTCCCCTCCTTAGTTCCTTGAACAGCAGGGCGATGGCTGCCGTGGTGGAACAGGAAAGTGAAACCCAACTCTGCAACAATTGGTAAGAAAGGAAACTTGTTTGTTTCAGTAACTGCCAACTCAGTAACTGTGTGTATGCAATTGGGTGTATGCAATTGGGTTGGTTGATTAGCTCTGTTTCAGAACCATTGCTCTAATTTATCATGTTTATTTTACTTGTTTTTAGTAAACAAAGCTAAGAAGTTGGAAGTTGTCACCCTTGCTTAATATTTATTTGCAATTGGCATCCATTCACTGCTGCTAATGAACATGTGAAATGGAAAATTTTCAGCAGGAAAAATAATTTAAGAAATATTGTGTCCCAATCTGGGGTGGTTGTTTGTTTCTCCTCAACAAGCCACAATTGCTAGCCCATCTTAAGCAAGTATTCATATTGGTTTATGGATTGTAGCTGGCTAGGGAGAAACAAACTGATCCCTGGTTTGGAAATAACAACAAATCATGGCTTTCTTATTTTCATACTTGCACTAACTGGCGTGATTGTACAGTATGCATACACATGCTGCTCCTTCATGGTAAAGCACAAGAAGCCAGAAATCCTGGCTTATGGTTGTGTGAGTGCGGATGGGGGCGGGGGCGGCGGAGAGACTGGTTATGGTGGAGGATGGGATTAGTGCAGCTGACTCAGGAGCTGGTGTGTAATTGTGGCTTTTCTCTCCTTCACTCTCTGGAGATGTGAGCTTTGTCTCCTGAGAGAACATCCCTGCTGGTCCATGAAAGGGGGAATGAATTGAATAGTGCCCAAAAGACTGAGCTGAGGACTGCAAAATCCCTTACTGCCATATGCTTGCTCTGTGGACTGTGGATGCAGCTTCAGTGCCACACAGATGGCAATACGAACAGGGACGCGGACTTATAAAAAATATTGGGGGGGCCGGGAAAGCTCATGAATAATAAATAAGCTCATGAATATGCAAATAAAGTGGCGCCGCCTCCTCGTGAGCGAATAGGGGAGAGCGTGCTGCGCCTATTAATCAGCTCCAAAGGAAATTGGGTGGAGCTTTTGCTCTGGAGGGAGGGCAGGAGGCATGCAGCCCGCCCCTCCCTGTGCATTTTGGGCTGGGGGAGGGGCAGCGATGGCGCTCTGCTGGAGGGGCGCCGGAGATTATTGGGGGGGCGGAGCCCCCCCAAACGAATTTTTGAGGGGGCTCGGGCCCCCTCAAGCCCCATGGAGTCGGCGCCTATGAATACGAAGTAATACTGGTTGAGCTTGCAGGGCTTGCTTGGGTTAGCTTTCTTTTAAAAAATCATTTCTTTTGCACCTTCCTCACCCAGCAGCTCTACTCCAAATCAGTGTTCTAAATCGCAAGTCCATGTTATCTTTTATGCTTTGTCCGTTTTGTTTCCAGCAAAAAAGACATTCCTGCGGCAAACTTCACCATCCATGAGATCCATTGCAGTCGAAACATAGGGGTGTGTCATATCTGCAAGGAGTCTTTCCCAAAATCAGAAATGAGGAGCCACCAGGAGCTGGAGCACACGCAGGTGACAAGCAGCCCCTTTCCCCTTTTATGCAACGGCTTCTCTGTGGTAGGCAGGTTTAATCACACGCTGGTTTGTGTGTCTGTTTGTTTTTCAATCTCAGGTTGTCTGTAAGTGCAGCATGAAGATGGACAGTGGTCTTTTGCAGGAGCATGTGGTCAGTAAGCATATCGTTGACTCGTCTTTACCTGATGATGCAGGGTGGGACTAACAAAAACTGCAAGGAGAGGATTATGTATGTGAGCCTTCAGGCTATTAAGATTTTTTTTAGGGCACTTGCACATGGTTCTTTGTGGAGAGCAACAGTCACAAGCAGGGGAGCATTTTGTAAACAGGAAGAGAGTTGGTGGCACAGTGCAGGATGCAGGCTCTTCCCTACAGAGGAGAGGGGCCCAGAGATGGGCTTCAGGGCTAGCTGCTGGTATAAGAGAGCTTCTTATGTGCCTATTAAGGGCTGCTTCTCTGGGTTGGCATTTTTACCAACCTGCACTATTGCCCCACCTAGTGTTTTTTTTCTGAAAAGTTTTTTTAGGGGTGCTCTCATTTTGACTCAAGAAAATCACCATTTTATAGCTCCAATTGGGAAAAAATAAAAGTACAAAGATTCACAAAATGTTTAGGGGTATGTGTACCCCTGCCGTCCCCCCAGAAAAAAGCACTGGCCCCACCTAACTCTATATTAAAAATCCATTTCTAAAATGGAGGTTGCAAAGCAGCCATGTGTTGTGGATTGTGTGACTACACTGGTGTGGCGCGCTACAGCCAAGGAGTGTGATTGCAGCTGGCTCTTGGGATTTATTTTGCCATGCGTTCACCCTAATGGTCACTGGCCCCTTGCAAGTCTGATTCAGTGCCCATGATAAACTGATGCTGGTATTCACAACAGCAATTGCAGCTCCTTTACGCCATCCTAATTGTGCAGGCAAGCTGGCTTCAGGGTGTTAAAACTCCATGTTCATTCCTTCGGCCTGTGTTGGCTGAGGCTGATGGCCAGACAAATGCAAAGAGGTTGCTCAGACGACGACCTTATGCACAATTTCCTTGCTGTCTTACCATAGGCTGCAGAGTGTCCCTTGCGCCCCGTGGCCTGCCAGCACTGTGATATTGAGCTTGCATTCAACAAGCTCCAGGACCATGAGGACTACTGTGGCGCTCGAACGGAGCGATGTAGCAGGTGCAGCCGCAACATTCTGCTCCGAGATCTGAAGGAGCACCCTGAGGACTGCAAGAGGGAGGCTGAGGAGGCAAGAGTCAGCCAAGCCCGGCCCTGCTTGAACTCCGAACCAGTTTTGCATAGCGTTCAGACAGTCAGGAATGTCCTCCATCAAGACAACTCTGCACGATCCCTGCCAAGGTTGAGCCGGTTTCCTGAAAGTAGGCTTTATAACTGTCTCTCGGGTGACCAGCTGCCCAGTGAGCGCAACAGAAGGAACGTTGCTCTATCGCAGCCGGATCAGAATCAAGGTAATGGCAGCAAATGATCACTTTTAAAAAGAATACTTGGCGTTTTACAATGTGCCCCCCCTCCCTCACACAGTGTTCAAGAGTGCATTCTCAGTTAATTGAATCTAACCTTTTTGTGCCCCTCTTCCCAGTGGCAAAAACCCTTCCCAAATTTTCATGCTTTCATGCTGTGTCCTAAATTTTATCCTTTCTGGGTGCAGTGGTGCCTCGCAAGACGAAATTAATCCATTCCACGAGTCTCTTCGTCTTGCGGTTTTTTCGTCTTGCGAAGCACGGCTATTAGCGGCTTAGCGGCTATTAACGGCTTAGCAGCTTTAAGAAAAAGGAAACAAACTCGCAAGAACTTGCAAGACGTTTCGTCTATGGGCGAAGCAAGCCCATAGGGAAATTCGTCTTGCGGAACGACTCAAAAAACGGAAAACCCTTTCGTCTAGCGAGGCATTCGTCTTGCGGGGCACCACTGTATGTTTACATGGGCAGTTGGTGGGTGGATCTTGGGACTGTTTAAATTCAACCAGCAGTCATTTTATTACTGCTGGAATATCCTGCTGCCGTTTCCTGGCAGCTAGGAGGGAGAAAAGTTGGCCATGCTGGCAGTTCTGAGGTGTAATGACTTCAGCCCTCTGGAGCAGAGACTCTGTTGTGTAGCTTCATCATAGTTCAAGTACACATTCCAGCCAGGGACGACTCCAGGAGAGTGCAGAGGGGATGTGGTATGTAGGGAGAATCCAGAGGATGAGCTAGGGAGGCTTGGAGGGCTGCATATGTCCCCCAGGCCTAAGGTTCCCCCCCACCCTGCTTGGTGTATTGCAGATGCTCAAATCACCTGTCTTCAGGGGGTATTGGCTCTCCTTCTCTGCCCTGCTTTCTTGAAATACAGTTTCCAGCAACCTTTTTGCATGTTCTGCAAAATGTAAGCCCATCTTTGGGTATGTTGTGCTGATCTTCTTTTTACAAATGGAAGGTCAGACAGCGATCATGATGATGGTCTGCCTTTGTTTCTAACATTTGGTTATATTTTGTCCCATGAAGTCCACCTGGAAAAGATGACAGCCCCCTTGCCTTTCGGTGGAGAGCCAGATTGCAACCTGGATTACCTGCTGGCTCTTAGCTTGCAGCAGGAAAACAGCTCTCATGAGCACAGTGGCACACAGATCCGGAGGGATCTCTGGAAAAATATCTGCCCCGCCAGAGCTAAAGCAGCTGAGGACTTTGTTGATGCAGATGACCCCGATATCTTCCCTCAGGGTTTGCTGGCACCTGCTAATAATGCTTTAAACAGGCCCAAAGGTGAGTAAACATTTGCTGTTGCTCAGAGTCATTGGTTGAGGTGCTGTGATGTCATGAAATGGTTGCAGGCCGAAACCATTAGGAGAATGTTGTAAAGGCTTTGGCTTCTGTGAGGGGTGCAAAAGTGCTGCCAAGGTTGGAAGGGGACCCGAGGGCAGCAGGAGATCTCTGTTCCAGAAGGGAGAGGCGAGATTGCCCGTGTTTCGTTGGCGTAATTTTGTCTTTTAGTGCTGCTTGTAATATTTATTTTTATATAACATCCCCCCCCCCAAAAAAGTATTTGTTGTGTGCTGATGTGGTTGTAAACTGCTCTCACACTTGTCTTGAAAAACGGCATGCGTATTTTATTTAATCTTATTTATTTATTTATTTATTTATAAATAAAGGATTTTGTAGAGGTGCTGGTAGGACTTAAAGTTGAGATTTTTTTTAACAACTTGCCCAATCTTAAGCATTGTGGAAATTGCTGTGTGAGAAATCTCTTGATTTCTGCACAGATAATGAAAATAGGGCCTTAAGTGATGGGGGTGGGGGTGGAGAATGGAATGAGTGGAGAAGTACTGAGAATCACTTTTTTTCTGGAATGAGATGGAACTTCTTGACCTCGAACAGAGGGAGCTTGAGTTTGTCGAAGGCTCTTGTGAAATCCCCCAACCTGAAGAATGCTCTGAGTATTCTGATCCTTCCTCCTTCTTTTTTTACTGAAGTGCCCTGAAGTAAACTTTTTGCATCAGAGAGTTAATTTACTAATGTGGCTAAATGTTTGGACTTTAGCTCTGTAGAGCTGGGCTGAGGTCTATTCTCGGCTACAGATTTGCTGGCTGACTCAAGGTAACTCATTATCAGCCAGTGGGCTTTATAAAATGGGAGGAACAGTCACCTGCCGCCTCTGTTGTTTTTACAGAGGGTTGTGTTTGTACAGTGCCTTGCACATGAGTGTGACTGATAGAAATTCAAAAGAGGAGGCAGCTAAATAAGTAATGTAACCTTGTCCTTCCTTGCTTTGCAGCTGAAACACTGCTGCCTTGTGAGTTTTGTGAGAAGCTGTTCCCTGAGGAAGATCTAATCCTTCATCAGGTTTTGTATATATCACATTTTCCCCCCATGCTGTTAGAAGGGCGAAATTGGCAGATATGCAGATGGTCCTTTCTTACGGCTTCCCCAGTGCACTGAAGGCAAAGTTGGGTAGTTCATGACAACTGGGCCAAAGCTATAGCTGTCATCTACTATCTGGTTTGGAAAGAGGTTTGTCTATCTGTTGCCCTTGCGTTCAGGTGTCTCTTGTGATAGCATTGGTGCAACGGTTCACGAGATGGAGGAGCCAGTTTTCGTCTTGTGTGTGGATACTGTTGGACACCATTTTAAATCCAGTTGGTGGACTGAACCATTCCAAGCTGCCCAGATTTGGACAACTCTGAAGATACTGTTGCCCATTTTGGCATGATGGTTCCTGAGCTTGAGGACCAGATTTTGGTCTGTGTTTGGATACCAACAGTTGTGTCCACCAAGGGTACAGTTTTCTGGCTGCAGGGAACATGCTGGCAAAGTAGCACCCAGCAGGATTAAACCCTCCTACAGTGTGGTTTGGGGAAGAGATTCAGTCTCTCCTTCCTCCTCTCAACCATATAGGGTTGAAAATGTTGGTGACAATATCACAAGAGGCGTCCTAACACATAGAGAACAGTCAGACAAACCTCTTTTCAAAATATAACGTATTGTATTATAATGACTGTGTTTTTAGTTGTCAACTGAAGTGTCTGAATTATCACCTTCAGAGACACTGTCATGAAGCAGATCTGAGACTTTCAAAAAAGCATTCTGTGAGGCTTTCTCCCCAAATTATCTAGATTAGTAGATGATGATACAAAATTGAAACAGCAAACTCTTGTTATGGTTGGAAGCAAAAGGGGTGTGTATAATCTCATCTTTAAAAGCAGATATTTCTGATAGTAACTGAAAAGCAGTGTCTGTTCCTGGGAGTCACCTCTCCTCTTATAGCTTTGCTGGCTGTGTCTGATATGCTTGCTTGCCTTGTGTTGTGTTGTGGGGATATCTAGAAGAAGGAAACTAATGTAAGTCCCCCCCCCCTTCCATTTTCTATATAACAGACTGGCTGCAGTCCTGTCAGCGCTTTGGCATCCTTCAGGAAGAGAAGCTCTTTTGTCCCTCAGGCTGACCGTCTTCAGGATCTCTGGGAACAGCTGCAGAGCAGTCAGTCTGCTGGCAGCAGGGAAACCGTTCCTCTGCAGCATGACTCCTCCAGCAGCCTCATGCTCCCTTGTGAATTCTGTGGCGTCCAGCTGGAAGAAGAGATCCTCTTCCATCACCAGGTGCAGAGAGCTTGCCTTGTGCTTGTCCCTTGTGGCGGGTGCGCTGCAGGCAAGCCAACTCACTCCTCCTTTGGGAAGGGCCCCCAAATAACCGGCTTTGTTTATTGATCCAGGACCAGTGTGACCTGCGCCCAGCCACTGCCCCCTCAATAGGAAGAGCCTCATCACAGCAAGGGACTCCGGCTGTGGATAACTTGGAGAGAACAAGCTCGCCAGATCTGCCTAGAAGACGGATCCGGCATCAAGGTATTGTCATTGGCAAGCCAAGCAGGTTGTCAGGTTAAGAGCTCAGGAGAGCAGAGTAGGAGAGCCTCTTTGCTGCCCACAGCAGGACAGTTCTGGAAATGGGGGATGATCTGACTTGTGTTTGCCAAAGGGTACCTGTGCACCTCATTTGCAGAGACTTGCCGTTTCATTGCACTGCCGTAGAGTGATATGCAGGATTGTTTCCATTCCTGCTTATTGTGGTGCTTGGTGTATCTCTATACTTGCAGCCAAAGGACATGCAACCCTTTGGATTAAAGCCCAGAGGATTAAATTTTCAAGGAGTTGATCTTGTATAGTGTGGCAGCACCTGTGCTTTGGAACATCCTGCCTAATTGATATTAGGCAGGTGCCCTCACCGTATTGTTTTGGATGCCTGCTAAAAGCATTTATTTCAGGAAGTCTACCCAAACATATGATTTTGTTATGTAGATTAGTTTTAAAAGTTTTACTGATTTTTAAAATCTGTTTTAATTTATTGTTTTGTGTAACTTTTTCAAAGGCTTTGTGGATTTTAGCTCTTTTTATCTACAGTTTGTTTTTGTTTTTAATTACGCACCACCTAGATGACTCTTCAGTTAAGTGCTTTATAATTCTTTCTAAATAAAATTCTCAGTGGCTGGACAGTGTTGCTGTTCGTCCTCTTCGAAGGTGAACTGTTTGTTGGCTGTAGTGCCTGGGGCAGTTTTAACATCAACCAGCCTGTGCAGCTCGTTCAGGTCATCGCTTGGGGCCAGATCCAGCCTGCTCCGTATCTGTGGCCATTTCTCTCCAGCGCAGTTCCTCACTTTCTTTTTCCTGCTTCAGGGGAAATCTCACCTCAGTACCTTGAGGAGTTCAGGCAGCAGAAGCCTCCCCACCCCATCAGAGGGAAGCCCTCCCGCAACAATCTGGTGGCTGCCAGACACATTCAGCAGGCCCCTCCCAACAACACAAGAGACGGCAATCTTGGGCCTTCAGAACGAGGCAAACCCAAGGAGCTGGGTATTGGTGGTGGTCGTGGAAGAGTGTTGAGTGACCATGCAGCTGCTGCCCCCCTCCCTACCAGGCGCTGTCCCTTCACTGTCTCTCCTAGTGGCTATGTGCCCAGCTTCCCTGTCACAGTTCCAGCTCGGCCCAGGTAGATGCTGGTTGCTTGAGAAAGGGGCTGTTTATCTTGTTATCAAGCTACAAATCTGTTTCTTGCCTGTAAGTTAATGGCAGAACCAAATTCTCTGTAGTACAGAACTTCCTGGTATGAATCTCCTCCCATTGGCAGGATCATGTGGACGTAGTGGTGTCCGAGTCCTGCCTGTTCCCCACTAACTGGTCTTGAGGGGAGCTGTGCTTTAACTTCTGTGCAGCATCCTGGGCTTCCTCTGAAAATACTTTGTGGGGGCTTTTGCTCAGGTGGTTTTTGACTGGCTCCCTCTGTGATCTCTTGAAGAGGATGCTGGTTCTTATTAAAGACTTTCTTGTTACAGTCTGCACTTCATTGATGTGCTGCTCTTGACCATTAATTCAAGGACTGTTTGGTAGATTGGTAGTTTTGTTTTGTTACAAAATCCTAAAACAAATCTTGAACTACCCTGGGAGGGTTGAGTCCTGAAAGTCATGTTAGAAACCTTTTAAGAAAGTTGCTTAATAATGTTGAAGTGAAGGAAGTTTTAGATTCCAATGGCAAATGTTGCCTTACCTCTTTCTCTCTCCCCTCCTTGCTCCCACAGCTTGAGAAGAGAAGGTGTCAGGAGTCCTGCTAGCCCTTCCCATTACAACAACACCAAGGTAAGAACTGTGGCGGGCTCCAGTTCTCCCTTCAGGCTCATGGTTCTCTGCGAGTTCAAATAATCAAAACTCCTGTGTGGATGCACATACATTTTTAGGGCTGTCACCCCAACCCCAAAGAAATCATAGGTTGCATTCCTAAGGTGGAAGCAAAAACCAGAGGTGCTTCAACTGCCTCATCCCAAAGGCCCCTGTTTGCAACAATTTTCTGCCCAGTTATGGGAGGGAAATCAGAGGGAGAAATGGAGGCCAGCTCCTGAGCTGCTCTAAATCTCTGCCAGGGTTGGGAGTGTGTTGGGCTATTGAGTTAGCTTTGGATCCAAGTTCTCCCCTAGTTGTCCTTCTCCTTGGTCCTGTCTGCATCAGTTCTGAGACCAGTTGGAATAGTTAGGGGTTTCTATAGGGGCTGAGAGGAGAGATTCAACATCAGTGAGGAAGACCTAACATATCCGTATCATTGCAGTCCTGGTTGATCAAATTAGTTAAAATCAATTGCTTGTTTATACATAAATGCACATACAAGTAGGACAAGAAAAAAGCACACTTTGTTTCAGATGTTATATTTTTGAATACTGTGTGCCATTTTAGAGGCATTCCTTGCTTGCTGTGTGAATGGGAAGAGTGCCTCTCTTAAGCAAAAAGGAATGAAAGCGCCCTTTTAGTGTGTTAAAGCTTTTTCTATCAAAGTCTGCAGCCACATATTCTGCCTCTGAAGTCTTGAAGGGGGCACTGAAGCTGTCTATCTTGTCTTTCAATCATCTGGCTTCTGTGGTCTTTCCAACACTGGACCCCTGCATTCAATCATACCTTTGCAACTATGAGGCTCAAACCTGCTCATTTTTAAAACACAAGTTAAGATCTGTGCCATCGTACCTTACTTTCTGTATGATTTTTCTGGACTCCCATAGAACCAGGACGTGGCTGTGCATGTGCTTTGAAGTTTGAGCTGTAGTTCTGACAAAACAATGCTACAGAACTTCTGAATGGGGAGAAAAATTCTAGTTGATTGCAGATTGCTCTGTCTCCTCCTTGCTGCCCAGATACTGCCCTCCTTCAATTCCTGCCATTCTCTTTCGCAGGTGAAACCGTGGCATGCTGAATCGGACTACCCGGACAAAGAGCAATAGGGAAAGGGCCTTCCCAGGGCAAGTGGGTTTGCCTTTGCTTCTGTTCCCTCATAAGGTCTGGCTGCAGTAGGGCTGGTTTCAGTGTGACACTGATTTAGCAGTGGGGGGTGGGGGAGAGGGATAGGGAGGTGGGTGATCATAACCACAGCTGCAGGCCAGAGAAGTGGTGGCAGGAACCCTTCTCTCCTGATTTAGGGCTGCTTTTTAAAAATGTGCAATGTCCTTGTGCTCTGAGGTAAGGGCCAGGGTGTGTGTCTGTAGGGGATCAGATTCAAATGTGTCCTATAGTCAAAACAACTGAGCTGAGAGTCTTGTAGAAGTTCTGCTTAAAATGCTCAGCCTTGAGGCGTTGTCCGTGTGCAGCGCCGTTAATGACACATGGGATTGTATGTTTTAGACTTGTGGCTGGCCTAGCAGCTACCAGGCAAGGCCTTGTGAGGAAGCCTGGGTTGGTTGCTGCTTTGGCTTAAGCTCAACTTATTGGGCTTCTTAACCTGTACTTTTGGTGCTCTAACTGCACTTGGCAATCTATTTCCCCAGTCAGGAGTGTGTAACCAAATGGGAGGAAGAAGAAACACAGGGAAAAGCCATAACATTTCATTATTCTGCCACTGTGTGTGTGTATATAGCCTATCTTTAATACCAGAAGTGCCCAGTTTCATTTCTGTAAAGACAACAACAACAAAATCAAGACAGGCTTCTGTTCATTCTCTTTATGCTGATTATTCTGCTATACTGGAGACTGTCTCAAATTTCTTGTAATAAACTTTGTATCTCGTCGTTCTTGCGTCCTGTGCAGTAGCAGAGCTTTTGTCATCCTCCACCTGTTTTAACTCTGCTTCAAAATTTACTGAATAGATTGAGATTTGAACTCAAAACCAGTCCCCTCCCCCCAAAGTACCATTTTGTTAGATGCCACATATGAAAATAAAACCAGAGGAGCAGTTTCTCAAACTGCAGCAGTCACTGCTGTGTCCTCATGTGACCCACTGCTCCATCACTTGCCCTCCAAAGGGGTGTATTGCCTCTGCCCGAGTTATTTCATTTAACAAGCACCCTTAAAATGGTGGGCTGGGCTCCTTACCATTGTGCACTTGAAAATTCGGAAGTTTGGGAAGGGAAAATCACCACTGTTCTCTTTACAGTAAGCTCACAACTTACACACACCTAACTTGTGAGCATTCAGATTTACACACTTGGCAAAAAAATTAAAAAGTGGGTGGGTGTTGGGGGGGACGACTGCTTTTCCCCCTGCACATATATCCAGCCACATTGCAGGAAAGGTTATGCTGTGCCATGGCTACTTGTGCTCAACTCTCCTGTGCTATAATAATAGTAAATTATTATTTATACCCCGCCCATCTGGCTGGGTTTCCCAGCCACTCTGGTCGGCTTCCAACAAAATACAGTGGTACCTCGGGTTACATACGCTTCAGGTTACAGACTCCGCTAACCCAGAAATATTGCTTCGGGTTAAGAACTTTGCTTCAGGATGAGAACACAAATCGTGCTCCGGCAGCGGGAGGCCCCATTAGCTAAAGTGGTGCTTCAGGTTAAGAACAGTTTCAGGTTAAGAACGGACCTCCAGAATGAATTAAGTTCTTAACCCGAGGTGCCACTGTATTAAATACAATAGTCTACTTTTGTCCCCCAATAGCCAAATGACAAAAGGCAGCCCAGCTCTAGTCTCTGCTCTCAGCAACTAGCTTGCCATTTTGGCACATATTATGTGTTGCAAAGGGGACGCAGGTGGCGCTGTGGGTAAAACCTCAGTGCCTAGGGCTTGCCGATCGCATGGTCGGCGGTTTCGAATCCCCGCGGCGGGGTGAGCTCCCGTCTTTCGGTCCCAGCTCCTGCCCACCTAGCAGTTCAAAAGCACCCTTAAGTGCAAGTAGATAAATAGGTACCGCTTTATAGCGGGAAGGTAAACGGCATTTCCATGTGCTGCGCTGGCTCGCCAGATGCCGTTTATTCACGCTGGCCACGTGACCCGGAAGTGTCGCCGGACAGCGCTGGCCCCCGGCCTCTTAAGTGAGATGGGCGCACAACCCTAGAGTCGGACACGACTGGCCCGTACGGGCAGGGGTACCTTTACCTTTACCTATGTGTTGCAAAGGGCTTCAAGGTGGATTTGGCAAATGCCCGGCCTCTCCTTTCTTGACTTCATAGGGACTGGTCCAGTTAAGTTTGTACAGATATATAAACAGTTATCACAATCAACAATGCTGCTTTGAAAGCCTGCGCAAAAGAACTGAGTGGGAAGTTTGTCGTTCTGCCCCTTGAGGCTTTCTGGTTCTAGTGATTCCTAGTGCTTGGTGAAGGTCAGCGGAAGCCTGTGTCACACAAACATGCTCTAGGCCCAGCTGATCAAATATAAAGCAGCTTTAAGGACACTTCCACCAAAAGTAAGCATTTATTAAATACAAGAAAAGCCAAAGAGACTTCTGAAAAACAAGTGGCAACTAACCTTGCAATGTTATTTCCAGGGGCAAAGCACTGTGGTGGGTTTACGGAGGAAAGCTAAGGTTGTATCTGATATAGTTGAGAAGGGACAACAGTTCTAAGCAGAGACCTTCACAGTAGAATCGAGGTGTGGAAAGCAGAAAATAAATTAACAAAACAAAAAAAGGCAAACAAAACACACTTGTCAGCTTGGTAGCTCATCTCCCTTGGGCAGAAGGAGGAACTTGGGAGCCCCTTCTGCACAAGAGGAATGGCATCCCTTGGCTCACGTTTCCCTTTTGTACAAAATATTTACACGTTTGCTGTAATTAAATACAAATTAAAAACTACAGTGCTTTAAACCCATCTCCAAATGAGCCAGAGATCAGGCAGCCTGCAATTCCTCATCTCAAGTAGTTTTAACTTTATGTAGGTGAATGCAGCTTGGAGGTCACAGGGTTGCTGTTTCCAGGCAAAAGATTAAGGAGCAGACAAGTAGTAAGATTTCCCTTTTAGCCTGGATATTTCATACCTGACCAAGAGCACTTAAAACAGGTTAACAGTGTGTAATAAATAGCAAAACAGATGCCTCAACATAAGCTTAAATGCCTCAACATCCATATTCTCTGCTGTTGTTAGGACAGCTTTACATTCGGAATGAATATTCAAGTTAAAAATAAAAAGTCGCAACCCAGAGTATTTAGTGAGAGACACTCTTACTGCAGACTATATAGTCAATGTTCATACAGTGAACAAGAACCAATTTGATGGGTTCAGGAAGTCCAGGGCAGATTTCTTTGCCACTTGCTCAGTCTTAGCAGCACCCTTTAACTTGTCCCTACCTGCTCTTCCAAAATAGGAATCCACAACGCAGATGAAGGGCTTAAGATTTGGATACAAAATGTTCCCAAACAGAAACTCCATTTACGCCGGGCTGGGTGTAAACACCATGGAGGACATTTTGTTTTGTTAAATGCAACCATAAATAGTTGGAATAAATATACATCAAGTCACTTTACAGCACACATGCTTCTGGGCCGAGGGGTGGAGACTCCCAATGTCCCTACGTCCTCGAGGAGGAAGCAGCAGGAACGGCAGCAGCAACAGCTTCCTCATATTCACAGCTGGCAACAGAAAGGCCTGTGAGGTATTTGAGCGAGAAGTTCCCTTAAGAGAAAGCTGGGCAATTCCAAAACAAATCAAAACCAGCCAGATTTTGGTGAAGCTCAGCCCAGCATGTCCTTCACGCGACATTTGTTTTTCATCTGAACGCATTGTGCCCACTTTGGCCAGAAAATGGGCAAGGCTCAAGAGCTGAAAGTGATACCTAAACAGGAGTGAGTTCTTCTTCTCTGACAATGGAAGTTGGAAGCCAAGATCTAACTCTAAAAACAGTCACACTCTTCCTTTCACACTCTTCCCCGAGCTCCTTCCACACACCATGCAGCCCAAATAATTACCAGTATTCACAGTTATATACAATAAATACAGCTGTTCCGTTGCTACAGGCAAGCAAAACTATTCTGACTCTTGTCTCCTGCCAGGCCCTAGCTTACAGCCTGCAAAATTGTGGGGGAGGCTTTCGCAGGCCAAAAAAACAAGATTTAGAACGAAGTACTGGCACTTAAACTCCTACATAGCACTGCATCTTGGGTTTGAAGGCAACCCGGAAATGGATCAATCTGGACTACACTACCTTCTTCAGGACCCACAACACTTCATATTAGTAAAGGGGGGGGGGGGAATGTGTCTGCTTGAAGGGTCTTGAGGCAGGGTGCACCTTGCAATAGGCCCATTCCACCCAGCTCCGCTCTTGTGTAGCTCCCTTTGTGTAGGAACCCATTGGAAAGCCCAGTGAAGCAAAAAAGAAAGCCACAAAACAGCAAGACAGAGCGGATCGTGCCTGTAGCTTTCCCAAAAAAGAGTAAAACATTACCGCGGAAGTCAGACGCTTCTCATCTCCCCCACTTTCTGGATGCAACATTTTAGTAATAATAATTTCCGAGCGATCATTTCTGAGTACAAAAATGTCGCAGTGCGTCCACCGGCTTTGCTAACTCTAGAAAGCCAAGAGGCAGGGCCGGTGGATTTTAGCCACTGAACCATGTCTGTGTGTGTGCAAAAGAGTAATTCATACTTGTGGTGTGATGGAACCCAGAAACTTGTTTCTACAGAGCCTCTCTTTAATGAAACGCGTGAATTGTCAGGATCCCCGCCACCAAAACCTGGAGGTGTGGAGTGCTGTGAAGTTGCCACCCGCATCCCTGGCAGGAAAGGAAGATTTTCAGTCATTGCCCCAGTGAGGATTCTGTTGTGTGTCAATGGCTTCTGTAGTGGCAGCCGCTCCATTTTTGCACTCAGAAATGATTGTGGGGAGCACTCTGCATTGAAAGCTTCATTAACTTCCCATTCAGTGATTAGCACTCTTCTAATTATGAAAGAAAGGTAAGGATCTCAAGGTTTGTGAACATCAGTCTGTGTACTAAACTTACCCTAGAAATATTTCACAAACAAGACAACCTATCCACCACAAAAGCCTACAAGTATGAAATGGAAGCCTCCCTGCAAGTGCCATTGCAGAGGCAAAGGTTTGGAGGAAAGAATCAGCCTTCAACTCTCGCCTTGTCACCGTTCGGTGTCAATTTTCAGCTGGGCAGGAGCCTCTTCCAAGGACTTCCGCAGAGACGCCCGTTGCCTACAGATGTGCAGCAGCTCAGCCGCTGAGAGGGTCTTCGCGGTAGTGGATGGCGTACCGGAGTTTATCCAGCATTATCTCCAGGGAGGAGTATTGAGGAAGTTTGATCATGAACATGCAGGTCTCAACACGAATGTAGCGTGAGTCTGGGGAACCTACAAAGAACCGCAGAAAAGAAGAGAGGCGGTTAAATCTGCTCTGTGGGCAAGAGCTTTTTTCCTTCTTAGTAGCTCTTGGTACCTTTAATACATTGATTCTAAACTCTGAAACCAGACAACTGAGAGATGTGGAGGAAAACCAGGGCAAATACCATATTTTTTTGCTCTATAAGACTCACTTTTTCCCTCCTAAAAAGTAAGGGGAAATGTGTGTGCATCTTATGGAGTGAATGCAGGCTGCGCAGCTATCCCAGAAGCCAGAACAGCAAGAGGGATTGCTGCTTTCACTGCGCAGCGATCCCTCTTGCTGTTCTGGCTTCTGAGAGTGAGAATATTTTTTTTCTTGTTTTCCTCCTCCTCTTGTGGTCTGGTACGTCTTATAGAGTGAAAAATATGGTATATGGCAACTCCCATATGTAAATGATGTTTCAACACCTGAGCTGGAGAAGAACTGTGTGTATTTGCTTATTCTCTTCTTCCCTCCC